TTCAACAGTTTTGAGATTCAGTTGTATTTTGCACTGATTGAAGACACCCTGAGCCAGATGCAGCTAAACAGCTCCAGAACAAAACCAAACCTCCTCCGTGCTTCACAGTGGGGACAGTGTTCTTTTCTGGGTGTGTTTCATTTTTGCGTCTGTGAACATAGAGCTGATGTGCTTTGCCAAAGAGCTTCAGTTTTGTCTCATCTGTCCAAAGAACATTCTCCCAGAAGCTTTGTGGCTTGTCATTATGCATTGTGGCAAATTCCAGTCTCACTTTTTAATGATTTACTTTCAGCAGTGGTGTCCTCACATGAAGTCCACTTTGGCTCAAACAGTGACGGATGGTGTGAACTGACACTGATGTACGTCGCCATTCAAGTTCACATTTCATTTGTTTGGAGGTTGTTCTGGGCTCTTTGGTTCCATTCGTATGATCCATCTCTTCAATTTCTCATAAATGTTCCTTTTGCAGCTGTGTCCGTGGAGGTTGGCTTCAGTCCTGTCGACCTTAAACGTCTGAATAACATGTGTAACTGTAATCACAGGAACATCAAGCTGCTTGGAGATGATCTTATGGCCTTTATCTTTATCCTGCTTGTCTGTCATTTTCTTTCTAGTCTCCTGACACAGTTCTCTTCTTCTCTTTCTCTGCTCCATGTTCAGTGTTGTGTCCATCATGTCTCCAAACAGCACAATGACACATGTCTCCCTTTAAACAGAAACACTGACTGAGGACAAGTTTGAAGAACCTGTGATGCAGATTAGAGACACACCCAAGTTTAAAATGTTACTTACAATCTTTTCTAGAGGTACCATCATTTTGTCCAGGCCAGTTTCATTTCATTTGATTTTTTTTTTTTTTTAATAATTCTGTTGAACAACAAATCAAAAACAGTGTCTGATTTTCATTGGTTATTTGTCAGGAAATTTTTATTTATTATTGCTTTTCTTAGTTTCAAGTTATTTCAGTAAAAATTGTTGATTTTTCTTTCATTACCAGAGGGTAATTTTGTCCACGATTGTACTTAGAAACTTTACAGCTGTACAAAAACATCGAACAGACAAAGATAATCACCGTTAAAGTCACAATATAACGACTAAAAAACAATAAGATACTCAACAACAAGCTCAATTTTACCCAGTGTTGGGGAGTAACAGATTACATGTGCTGGAGTTAAGTAATCAGAGTACAAATTATGAGTAACTGTATTCAGTTACTGTTACTGTTTCAGTGAGTGGGAATTGGATTACAGTTACTTTGTTGAAATAAATGGATTACATGGTGGTATTTTCCTGTTTTCACATTTGGGGCTATATTCCCCCCTTTTAATTTTTTTCTTTTTTTTTTTTTCTTGGTAATTTCACTCATTGCCGTAAACTAACCAGGTCTAAAACCAGGTCTAAAACTAGGACTAAACTAGGACTAAACCAGGTCTAAAACCAGGTCTAAAACTAGGACTAAACTAGGACTAAACCAGGTCTAAAACCAGGTCTAAAACTAGGACTAAACCAGGACTAAAACCAGGTCTAAAACTAGGACTAAACTAGGACTAAACCAGGTCTAAAACCAGGTCTAAAACTAGAACTAAACTAGGACTAAACCAGGTCTAAAACCAGGTCTAAAACTAGGACTAAACTAGGACTAAACCAGGTCTAAAACAAGGTCTAAAACTAGGACTAAACTAGGACTAAACCAGGTCTAAAACAAGGTCTAAAACTAGGACTAAACTAGGACTAAACCAGGTCTAAAACCAGGTCTAAAACTAGGACTAAACTAGGACTAAACCAGGTCTAAAACAAGGTCTAAAACTAGGACTAAACTAGGACTAAACCAGGTCTAAAACCAGGTCTAAAACTAGGACTAAACTAGGACTAAACCAGTTCTAAACCAGGTCTAAAACAGGATTTAACAGGACTAAACTAGGACTAAACCAGGACTAAAACAGGTCTAAACCAGGATTTAACTAAATCATGCTGCGTGGACCATGTTTCCTTCTCTTCTATCAATAACATTTTTAATTTGGTTCAGTAAAGTCTGGGCTTTTTATTTTCTTTTATCAAACAAACTTCTTATGTGAAGATTTCCTCGTCTTTGCTTCTCTACAGCAAATCAAGTAATCCAAAGTATTCAGATTACATTACTCACTTTAAGTAATTTAATGGATTCTGTTACAAACTACATTTTGGGGTATGTAATCTGTAATCTGTAGGGGATTACATTTTAAAAGTCACCTTCACCACTCTGCTTTTACCACATGTTTATGGGTCTATATTCGAGCGTCCATTTTGTGCTTTCTAGTACTAATCCTGGGTGTTTCCGTTCTCTTCCTAGTCCCCCCGGTGGTGCCCTCGCCCGTGTGTCTGAATGGTGGGCTCAGCTGTGGATTTACACTGGTTTATTTCAGGAGGAGTTATTCACAGGTCAGCCCCGTGTCCTCTCTGTCCACTCTGTCACTGAAGGTCTTTCCCCGGTTTAACGTGTCTGAATGTCCGGGCTTAAAGTCAAACGGAGACGTCGACTCTACAGACACATTTGTTACTGTCAGATTCTCATGGTACCGCAAAGTAAAAGTACAAGTTTATTATTAGAAAAGTCAAAATCCCTCGAGATAAATTATGAAGAATAAATGTTTGTATGTGTAGGGTATGTGCACTAGGGCTGGGTATCATTAAAGGTTGTATGGAGGATTTTTTTTTAGTTTCAAACTGTCAGTGAAAGATTAAAATACCATTACAGAGACGCAGCAGCTTTGTAATTATGATGACCAAAAAAAAAGAACGAAAATCTATCAACTGTGGACGTGTTGAGGCCAGATAAACATCAGCCAATAGAAAACGAGGCTCCCTCATTTTCTATTCGCTGTTAGGTTGTCAATCAAACTCTCTAGTATAACTGACTCGTCGGAGCGCGGGGATTACGTGGTTTACGCAGCGGTTCTTAGAGGCTTTTTCGAACTGTCGCTTCCTCGCATTTCGCACAAAGTTTGTCGCGACGGCGGACGACAATCCACGACCGGTTCGCCGCAAAAGAAAGTCGGTTTTTGAGGTCGCTGAAAGAAGAAGAGAAGAGGAAAAGGAGCAAAGACAAACTGAGGTGATTCTTGGAGATCTCGTCCAGCGATGGCGCGACCGAAGCAGACGAAGGGTCTAAAAACTGACGCGTCGGTCGCTGAATTACTTCTAGACAGGAAACTTCAACAGTGATTCTGAACGTGCACAAGGACTGTCGCTGTATTTCTCTTCCCTTAAAAAAAATCCTCTATACAACCTTTAAGACGTTGCCGATACGATACATATCTCGATACAGTGAGCTTTCGATTCGATACATTTCAAATCGATTCAATACGGTTCAATAAAAAATAAAGGCTAAATTGTGGCTGTGATACTAAAAGTCTTTGTTAAATCACTTCTTGTGCAAAGTTAATATGAAACACAAACATTTTAATCCTCAAAACAGTGAAAATGTCAAATATGCCACATAAACGAGTTTCCTTCCTCTAAACCACAGGTGTCAAACATAAGGCCCGGGGGCCAGATCCGGCCCTCCAAGACCTTTAATGTGGCCCTTGGGTGATTTTCTACTAAAATATTTTAATTATATTTTCTATTAAAATCTTGTTAATTTTCTGTGGTGTTTATCACAGCAGCGTCTCCAGTGTCTCTGTACGTGGCCCCTCCCACCAGAGCAGCACAAATGAAGACTTGTCTCTTTCCAAACGCTCTTAAAGGACGATCGTTTTGACTGTTGACTGTGACACCCTCATCAGAAAAATGTCCAACATGAGAAAAGTGGAGCCGAGTGCAGGATTTTACAAGAAAAATTGACTTATTCCTATTTACATACAAGTTCATGTCAAAAGTTTGTGTTGAAATTGCATTTTTCTTAAAGTTTCAGGTTGTTCATAATATTATAATAAGAAAGAGTTCATCAATTAAAAAAGATTTCTGTAATAGATTTGTGTTTCTCTGCACAAATATTTGAACTTATTGTTATTTTTGGGGTTTATATGTCATGAGTTTTCTGATCCGGCCCCTTTGGGATCAAAGTAGGTTGGATACGGCCCCCGGACCAAAATGAGTTTGACACCCCTGATCTAAACAACCAACAAATTGTAGCTCTGTAACAAAATAATTTAACAAAAAAATAAATAAAAATACTCTTGGTGATATATCGATACAGCAGCCCATGATATCGATACTGTATCAGCACATTTAATGATATGATATATTGATATTTCTATATTTTTGCACACACCTAATAAGTACATGTGTCATGTGTATGTACGTATATTCAAGTATATATATTAAAAGACTCATTTTTATTTACTCACTTTTTATTTATTTTTATTTCCCTCTTTTCCCTATATTTATTTATTTATTTTTATTTATTTAAGTATTACGTAATCTCTATTAATTTACGATATATGCATATATATACTTTTTTCTTTTCACTGGAGACAATGAGGGAGGGTAATGGGGGGGGGTGTTTTGTTGTTGTTTTTCTTTGACATCTGCTTTATATGTACAAAAAATAATATTAAAAAAATTTTAAAATCCCTCGATACGATATTTTCATTATATGTATCTCACGGTTAAATATCCATCCATTTTCTGCCGCTTTATCCGGGGCCGGGTCGCGGTGGTTAAATATTTATTATGATATTTTGTGGAGCCTTACAAAATTGTGTATAAGCATTTTTTTTTCCTTTTAAAAGCCTTTTGGTACCGTTATAATATGAAGAATTAATGTAAAAGTGTTTAAAAACAGTTATTTCTTCATAAAGTCTTCAGTGAAACAGCAAAGAATCATGGATCAAGTCATTCAAAGTTTTACAGAATATGAAAGACTTTAAATTCATCATAACAATTCATTTAAGCAAAAACACTTGTAATTCAATATATTGCAACGGCCTCTGATATTATTGTGAGACTTTTGACGATAAGATATCACCATATTTCTGTTTTTGTTACATCAGTTAGAGTATATTATTATAGAGACTTACTGTTGAGAGGCATGATGTGTTCTCCAGGATGGTGGAAGTTTAGCCCCAATCGTCCTGTTGAAAGAAAAAAAACTGTCAATATAAGAAAATAACACCATATTTTCCGTCAAACCAATTTACAGTTGCTGAGTTTCAAATATTTCACAACCTCTAAAGGTAAAGGGTCCAGATTATGTTGTTTTTGGATCTGCAATATGTTATAATGTAGTTTTCTGATCACAAACAGACCTGGAGTTGTGTTTTGTTTCATTCGCACATGTTTAATAGACAAACCAAACTGCATATTTACTTCTTCTTTCAAACAGAAAACGCTCTGTTCCACCTCATGATGTCATGTGGAAGTGCTTCACTGTGTTATGGAGGATTTTTTTGTACGGATTTTTTTTTGTTTCAAAGTGTCAATGAAAGCAGTGATGCGGTCGCTGTATCGGACCGTTGTGGTGAAGAAGGAGATGAGCCGAAAGGCAAAGCTCTCGATTTACCGTCAGTCTACGTTCCTGCCCTCACCTATGGTCATGAGCTCTGGGTAATGACCAAAAGGACAAACGGTCGAAATGAGTTTCCTCCGCAGGGTGGCTGGGCGCTTCCTTAGAGACAGGATGAGGAGTTCGGAGTAGAGACGCTGCTCCTCCATGTCGAGAGGAGCAGCTGAGCCTCGAGCATCTGTTCTGATGCCTCCTGGGCGTCTCCCTTGGAAGGTGTTTCAGGCACGTCCCACCAGAAGGAGGCCCCGGGGAAGACCCAGGACACGCTGGAGGGACTATGTCTCTGGGCTGGCCTGGGAACACCTCAGGGTCCCCCCCCCCGAGGTGCTGGAGGAAGTGTCTGAGGTGAAGGAAGTCTTTGAGTCCCTACTTAGCCTGCTGCCCCCGCGACCCGGCCCCGGATAAGGAAGAAAATGGATGGATGGACTATTTTGTTCCAGTATTGCTGGTTCAGATGAAATGTTAAAAAGAAAAAGAAATAAGCAACATTTAATCTCCAAGTAGGCGACTTCTGGATCCTTTTTATTTTCGGTTCAATTACTGTTTTTAATTGTTTAAAACTTGAGTAATATTAATTGTTCAGAGACACGATCACTCAGTCAACAATAAAATATCCTCATTAATGTTCAATAATGGCCAAATCCACCTTTATTTTGTGATTTGCCAATAATGTTTATTGACTTGGGTTGCAAAGGTTTGTGACTTTTAAAATACGGATCACCAGAAAAAAAGTCTGGGAAACACTGATGTAGATGGACTAATAATACCATGAAGGTAATAAGTGTTATTCAAACGTGTGAATAAAACAAAACACAGTTCTGTTTTTGACAAGGTTTTAACTTAATACCATGACTTAAAACTCACAAAGAAGAGTCCATTTTGCGTAATATCGGACTTTTAATGCAAATATGAAATTTTAGGGTCCAGTCACGAACAGAAATGATCAAGTTCAACATTTGTGAACACTTTCAAATGAAAATAAAAGTGTAATCAATAGGGAAATGACATAATCGCATTTTAGAATCTGAAAACTGTCCATTTTAAACAACCACTTATCTCTCTCTTATTCTTTTTTTTTTTTAATGACTTGATTGTTGGGTTAAGAGTGACCAGAGTCCAGCGCAGAGGAGGCCGTTTCCACCAACAGATGTTTCTCGGTATTTCTCTCACACTCGAGGTTACAAAAGGCCAAACGGGAACGAGAAACACTGTGTACGACGAACACTAACTAAATGTTTATGGAAGGAAGTGTAAAATTGCCAAGTTTTTGTTCAAGTAATTCAAGTGATTAGATCTGGGATTCGTGTTCGTAAATCGAAATCAAGTTCACAGTTCACATTTAAAAATATCTCAGAACATATTTGAGATAACACTGGAAAATGAACTCGTGAACGAACAAGAATCCCATGTATTTTAGAAAATGTTTATAGAAAGCGAGACTACAGGGTTACTAAGTTTTAGACACAATAAAACCCCATGGAGAGAAGATAATTATTACTTATTAATTATAAATACTTGCCAACATTCTCTGGACGTTGGATATGATTTTGGAAAACAAATTAAAACACCAAAATGAGTACTTTTTTCAGACAAACACCTCATAAAGTTGGATAGAAAATTGCAAAAACTGTACTCAAGTTAGGTTACGTTTACACTGAAACGAATCACCGTATCGGAAACGATTTGCGTCCAGACACGTCGTTTCTGTGTCCACAATCAAAGCCTTCCCCATCCACACAGCTTTGCGCACATTTGTTTACGTTTTACAGAAATGAAACTTAAAACCACGTGGCTCATTTGCATAAACTAAGAGCTCAGAAGAAAAAAACGGCTCACTCCTTGTGCAGTGACGCGGTTCAGCTTCTGTCGGACTTGAAAATGACAAAACTCAGTGGAATATGAGTGTTTTTTCTTCGATAGAGCGGTGTTCTGCTGATGGTGAGTCTGTTCTGTGTGTGTAGTTGTAGCTCCGCTGTTTCCCGTTTGTCTGTGGTTTGTTTAAACTGTTTTCCGCAATATTGTCACATGACCGATGTCAGGAACCCAGAGAATCAGGAAGGAGCAAGTGACAGTGACGTGGTCCAATAAAGACGCAACTAAAGCTCCTACATCAGCGTATCAGCGTTTTCAGGCGTCCACACAGTGCCGGATCAGATCTGTACTCAGATGAATTTGTGGGATAGTTTTGTCTCTGGAGCCGTTTTCCATCGGAAACACTGCATCCACAACGAAAAGGACTTGAATATGTACTAGTGTGGACGGGGCCTTAGAGTAACATAATTTAAACATTTAAAAAAGAGAGATACACAACAGCATTCATACCATATTCCATATAGACAAACAACTCACCCTTAACAAATAATACTCCCTACAACTGTACAACAACTCATCTTTACTATATGTAACAGATAATACTCCCTACAACTGTACAACGCACCCTTATGTAACGAATAATACTCCCTACAACTGCACAACTCACATTTATGTAATAGATAATACTCCCTACAATTGCACAACTCACCTTTATGTAACAGATAATACTCCCTACAACTGTACAACAACTCACCCTTATGCAACAGATAATACTCCCTACAACTGTACAACGCACCCTTATGTAATGAATAATACTCCCTACAACTGCACAACTCACATTTATGTAATAGATAATACTCCCTACAATTGCACAACTCACCTTTATGTAACAGATAATACTTCCTACAACTGTACAACAACTCCTCTTTATGTAACAGATAATACTCCCTACAACTGCACAACAACTCACCCTTATGGAACAGATAATACTCCCTACAAATGTAAGTCTAATATACTTAAGTAGAAGTACAAAGGAGGGGGCGAAGAAATTACTCAGGTAAGAAAAGAAAAAAAACATATTTGAGAGAAGTAGTAATTTGTAAGTAAGTAAGAGTAATTTTGAATAATAATAATAAAATATAATTTGAAGTTAATATAAGTAACAAAATCTGGTATTTTCAAAGGACAGAAGAAAAAATTTGAAAAACAAAAGAAAATCTGAAGAAGCACTACAAGAAACTCAAATGTTCAAATTATTTCATCTTGTCCACATAAAGCTTTTGACTTACTTTTAAGTTGTGTTTATTAAATATTTTTGGTGCAAGCCACATATAGTTATGAAACTGCAATAAAAATACAATAAAAGTAAAATTACACGAAAAAAGTTAGTGTAGAAGCAGTCATGGACATTGTCATTTACTATTCATAATATTGGCCATAAACTCACAAAAAAAAGAGTACTATTACTTCAATTAAAAGACTATTGTTACTTTAATTTAAAGAGTACTGTTACTTCAATTTAAAGAGTACTGTTACTTCAATTTAAAAAATACTGTTACTTCAATTTAAAGAGTACTGTTACTTGAATCCCCCTCCTTGAACCGTCACCTTATCGTGGTGGAGGGGTTTGAGTGCCCGAATGATCCCGGGAGCTATGTTGTCGGGGGCTTCATGCCCCTGGTAGGGTCACCCAAGGCAAACAGGTCCGGGGGGACGGGTCAGACGAAGAACGGTTCAGAAGCCCCTATGATGAGTGTACGAGCAAGGCCAGTTACGTCGCCCGGATTGGCGTCACCGGGGCCTCACCCTGGAGCCAGGCCTGGGGTGGGTGCTCGCCAGCGAGCGCCTGGTGGCCGAGCCTCCCCCCACGGGGCTCGGCCGGGCTCAGCCCGAAGGAGCGACGTGGGGCCGTCCTCACGTGGGCCCACCACCTGCGGGAGGATCCATATGGGGCCGGTGCAGAGAGATCTGGGCAGCAGTCGACGGCGGGGGCCTCGGCGACCGGATCTCCGGACATGGAGACTAGCTCTGGGGACATGGAATGTCACCTCGCTGGGGGGGAAGGAGCCTGAGCTTGTGCGGGAGGTTGAGCGTTACCGACTAGATATAGTCGGCCTCACCTCCACGCACAGTTTGGGCTCTGGAACCCAACTCCTTGAGAGGGGCTGGACTCTCCATTTCTCTGGCGTTGGCCGCGGGGAGCGCGGGCTGGTGTGGGCCTGCTCATTGCCCCACAGCTCAGTCGCTGTGTGTTGGAGTTCACCCCGGTGAACGAGAGGGTCGCGTCCCTGCGCCTTCGGGTCGGGGACAGGTCTCTCACTGTGGTGTCGGCCTACGGGCCGAACAGCAGTGCAGAGTACCCGGCCTTCTTGGAGTCCTTGGGAGGGGGTACTAGACAGTGCACCGACCGGGGACTCCGTTGTTCTCCTGGGGGACTTCAACGCCCACGTGGGCAACGACAGTGACACTTGGAGAGGGGTGATTGGGAGGAACGGCCTCCCCGATCTGAACCCGAGTGGTGTTTTGTTATTGGACTTCTGTGCTAGTCACAGTTTGTCCATAACGAACACCATGTTCGAGCACAAGGGTGTCCATAAGTGCACGTGGCACCAGGACACCCTAGGCCGGAGGTCGATGATCGACTTTGTCGTCGTGTCATCTGATCTCCGGCCGCGTGTCTTGGACACTCGGGTGAAGAGAGGGGCTGAGCTGTCAACTGATCACCACCTGGTCGTGAGTTGGGTTCGCTGGTGGAGG